CATTGGGAGTGACAAAGACAGACACACTGGCCGACGACCGAGCGCACAGCGAAGCTAGCCGGCGGCGACAGCAGTGCGGCCGGGCACGGGTCAGTCGCTGAGGCACCACTACATCTATCTCTCTCACTCTTTTTGCCGAAGAGCTCGCAATGCGTGTGGCCTATGCAGGCGAGGCTCGGCGGATAGCTCGAGTTTGCGACCCCTGGCCTATATCAGATCAGTCTCACACCTGAAGACCTTCCCATTTCCCACCTGGCTTTTCATTGTGTATGTTTTTGGTGCATGACGCCATGTTTATCTGCTCTTCGCAGCCCTGCCCCTGTACTGCCTCATCTGCGCCAACAGCCTGCACGTCAAGATGGCCCAGGAGTTGGAGGCACAAAGCACTTCGTGGTTGGAGGTGCAGGCCGTTGCCCCGGCTGGAACCGGCCCCGCCTCGGCCCCAGCCATGCAGTATGGAGCTACGGAAGGGGATTCGCTTGATTGGGCGCATCGGAACGAATTTTCATACGACTAAGGCCCATCATCGAAAAGTAGGAACGTTATCGTTACGCCCTGTTCTGCATGAACCGGCATGAACAGCATCAACTAAACACCCTAATCCGTTTCCCCCTCGTCAAATGGTGAAAATTCGCTGTAACTTGAGATGCTGCAAGATTCACTGTGGCCTACAGTGAAATTTACCGAAAGCTTTTAGGCCTATTAGTGCCTGGATAGTGCTGCCACCTTACGCAGTGGTCCGTATCTTTTTTAACGTTAAAAGTTATATCGTTTAACCTCTTTCTTGTACCCTAGTAGTGCGCGGTGATGCACATCAAAATGTGCTAAAAAGGTACAAAATTTTCGGCGTGTTTTGTTTCCTGAGCATTAGAGCGTAAAATGCGAATTTCATGAGCATATGCCGTATTGTGGGGACTGTTTAAGAGCATTTTGATGCGAATTGCCGCCTTTTTGTGGGGCTACTAGGTACGAGAGCTACTATTCTAGGGCTATGAGTGACCACTAAAACGCTAAGTATTATAGACTTTGCGGGCCGGATCATTTTAATCCGACATTCACTACAATGTTCTACAACACAGCAGGGGAGTATTAAACGGGTGAGGGGAAAGGGGGGGGGGCACTGTTTAAGAAACGTCAGAACTTAACGAAGAATTCGTTGTTAAAAAAGTTGCCAGAACTATTTGTGTAATCACAACTCTCCTTCGTTGTCAAAAATTGATTTACGAAACGTTTCGTAAAGTTACAAATATATTTCGTAACGAATGCAAATTTTGGGGTTATACGTTAATAAATAAGACGAAAATTTTTTTCATACCGCCTAGATGGAGCTTTAGATTTTACGAAGCAATTCGTAAAATAACGACGTATCGTAATTTGTTAAAAACGCAGTTTTCGTAACAGAAACTTAACCGAGAAAATTTCGTAAAATTACGATGATTGTTTGTACAGTGTTTGTACAGTGGCCTTCAGCTGCATAAACACATTGTATTTCCGACCTTGAACACGGTGAAGAACTGATAGGTAAAGAGCACGACTCTGGCGATGGCGAACGCCACCAGAGACACGCAGCCGTAGCGCGTCCACCGGCGCGACCAGCGCGGCGGCCAGCCGCTGCTGCCGAGGACCCCCGCCAGCCGCAGCGCCACCAGGACTGCGCGCCAGTGCGCCGTCAGGACGCGCCGGGAGAAGGCGACTGACCTCGTGGCCGTTGTCGTCTCCCCCGGGCGCCACCAGGAGTGCGCCATGGCTCATCCTCCACTGCTGGCGCACTCTTACCGCACAAGCGGGCTTCGGACGAGCGGTTGTTTCGAGCTTTACGCAGGCCTCCAACAGGCTGCTGGCGGCTGGTCGATTTGCCTGACGGACGACGCTGCTTGCTGCTTGACTTGACGTATCGACCTCGCCTGAGGACTGTGTGGAAGGGCCTGACCTAAGGATCAACCCACCGGGGGGAAGGGGGGGGGGTCACCTTCCCTTGGTAGACAGCAATAATTAAAGTA